TGCCTTTTCTTACTCAAACAAAGACTTCAATTTTGTTTTTGTAAGTCTTCTTTTGTTTGCATCACCAAATGACATATGAATGCTAACATCAATTTTGTTTTTGTAAAACATTTGATCTCTTGATTAAGTGAAAAACTTATCCAAGATAGAAAAGTAAAAGTTTTCTCATCTCACAAAATATATTCATCTCAAATAAAATGATAAAACACACACGCGCGCGCACATATTCTTTTCAACTAAAATATTTTAAGATAATAATAAAAATTATTTAAATGAATAGTATTTTTAATATTATGGGAAAAATATTTTTACGTAACTAAAAACAAAATAGTCAATGTAAATAGATAAGACAATTTGCATCACAGTTAATTAAATGAAAATTTTCTTCCCCAATTACTATATGGTATAGTACTAATTGATCAAGACATGTCAAGAAAATCATGGTATTTTCTTCTGCATCCATCTCGTGCCAAATGTTTTCCACTTAAGAAAAGTAAAAGATTCCTTATCGTAATGTTAACTTTAAATAAAAAAAAAACTTATATCTACTAATACTGTGATAATTTATCATCTCTTGTGTCCATTTTAAATTAAAGCCTTCACCTTTTTGTAAGTCTTCTTTTCCATTTGTCATCAACTAATGTGTGATTTTCAATATCAACTTTTTAGTAAAACACATTGGCGTTGCTTCAATTTTACTAAAATTACAAAAACTTTCAACACATTTTGACAATTACCTTAACTTTAATATAAATTTTACCAATGGAGGTTGATCCTTTTGAAAGGAATCATGGTTACCTAAGCATCAGATTTTGAATTTGAGTCTCGGGCTAGGCAAAAAAAAAAAAAAAACACTTTTGGGACCCCTCAATCTTTTCTAACATCTTTTTGTTGGATTGAAAGAGTTTTTCCATATAGCATGTTGGAATTTATAATATTTCTTCATAGCAATTATTTAAATTCTCATAAAATATATAGCTTCAAAACCAAAATAATTTTCAACATATATAGGACTTTTTGGATGGATGAATTTCTTCTTCAATCACTGTATGATAGAATCATTGATCAAGACACAAGAGTTATGGACATATGCTCATTTCATTAAAATACTAAGGTGATTGCAATTAGCTTGTTAGCTTGTGTGGTCATTATCTTCCTCCATCCCTTCAAATGTCTTTTTTAGATTATTGCCAATTTTTTCTGCATAATAAAATTGAAAGATTCCTTATGTAATGTTTACTTTGAATAAAATAAATTTTTTATCATTGCTGCTACGATAATTCCTCATCTCTTTTGTCTATTTTAAGGTTTTCATTTTTTTGCAAGTCTTCTCTTCTCTATTTCTCAAATGACACGTGACTTTCAACAACTATGTCTCTCCTTTCCTTTTCATTTGTATGTGAGTGAGTATTCCAAATCCTATCTCACTTCCAGATTTCTTCATTGTTAATTAGCAAACCATTACATAGTTTTTTTTCTATGCATAAATTTTTTGCTAGTATTTATTCATATGTAAGATTTGACGACTTTAATTAGTTTTTAGCATATTTTTAATGCACTTATTTTGTTTTTCATGATTCTTCAAACGCCAATTCGGTCACCAAAACTTTTTTTTTTTTCATTTATATGTTAATTGACTTTAGCCTGCTACTTGTATATTAATTCAATTTTTGTTTGTATCTAAACCTTTTTATTGATTTTTTCCGAACATTGATTGTTTTTATTTTGTGGATTTTCTTCCCAAAACTCGGTCAACGTAACGTCATCCTTTCTGTAGGCAAATATATACATATAGTATAAATTAGTTTTTCTTAATTATTACCAACTATAAATTACTAATTCCATTATTGGTAGTCCACCTGAGTCTGCATAGAAACTTTTCATCCCTGTCGACTTCATTAATTGTGCGTTTCTAAGTCAGCCAAATTAGTTTACATTTATTTCATTATTTGTAAAACTTGATATATATAGATTTCAACATCATGTAACATATATAATAATGTATATATTCAACATTTTAAAGTGCCTAGGATTTGTAATTAAACATATCTAATCCATTTTTGACTAAATCATAAATAGTTAATCATACAATAAGACTTATTTCATTAGGTGGGGTTGGTTACATGATATCATTGTATTCTATCATTTACCAAGCTTTTAAAATATGGTTAATTAAGAGACCTTGGTCAACAATTTTAATAAATGTTCTCTTTAGTCTTTCTCTCCCTTCTTTACAGTTTTTAAGATTATTCATTTTAAGTACTCTCCTCGTCAATACCTCCCACAATGTTCTCTGTACATATTTAAACCATTTCAAATAATTTTTTTACTATTTTTCCCTCAATAAATGCTATACCAACTTTTTTTTTATATATGCTCATTTTATATTTTATCTTTATATATATATATATATATTTGTACATTCATCTCAACATTATTATTTCCACTGCTTCAAATTTATGTTTATGTTGTCCCTTAAAGGCCAACACTCACTCCTATATAACTAATTGATTTTTAATTTTTTTCACATTAAAGGAATTTCAATCTTTCATCATTCCAATGCTTCACCCCCAGCCTTGTCATTTGAACTAATCCCACGTGACTAAACGATTTAGGATTTAATTTAAATTTTAAAAGCACACCTTATAATAAAAAAAGGAAAAACTAAAGAGAGCCAAATCTTATATGGTGTGTTTGGATTTTAATTGAAAAAAATTGATTAAGAAAAAAATTGATTATTAGAATGTGATGGTGTTTGGATAAATTTTAAAAAATTAATTATGATATTGATTTTTCAAAATGAAACAAATTTTAGCTTATTCCAAATGGAGTTTTAGAAACTAAATGGAGTTTGGGAAAATTGGGGTGTTTGGATAAAAATTTTCAAAACCATAATTTTAAACCCAAAATTAATTCTAAATGGGTATCCAAACATGCCCATAGTTCTTAAATGTCTCCACATGGGAGTTGATAATTGTGTGTCACGAACGGCTCTATTTATGGGCTATAAAAATGACAGTTTCTTAATGTGGGCCTAAGCCTTAATTATTGGGCCAGAGTTTGCATAAAGGAATTTCTCTTGATGGAGTACAGAAAATTGGCTTTTACACGAGTTTTTTACCCCAGTTTAGTTTCAAGGCAACTGGTGTAAAAAATGTGATACCTGATAATTTTATAATTATTTAGGATGATTAATTAACATCTTATATCGATGGCTTATATCGGCCATAACTATAACTAATAATTATAAATATAACCGAATAGAAAGATATATTAAATTTCTTAAATAGTTAAATTACTTTAATTTCAACATCATGTAACATATATATATATATATATATATAATAATCAATGTAAAAGGTAAATCGAACTTTAAAAATAAAAAATTATAGTGTTAAAAGAATTTGATACTCTCAACTATTCACTCAGAGCACTTTGGAAATTTAAATTTGTTTTAGATATGATATTTTCCTTTCAATATTTGTAAATAACGTAATAATGTTAACATCCATGATTGTAGTATATCCTTGTGGGTCCCATACTTTTATAATGATTTCACGTAGTTTGTTCCTTTCACAATGTCTGCCACACCAACATCATCAATCCAAAGTCCCAACAATGGCTTCCAATACTCTGATTCCCACTTTCTTTCTGGCAGCATCGACACGCGCGCGCGCACATTATATGTATGAGTTCTTATTTTATATGTACCATGGCGTACCACCGAATCATTCGTGCTCATAATTCATCTCTCGGTCAATCAAATTTTTACCTGTGCTAACGGAATTTATTGTTCAATATTTTCATTTGTTTAATTATAGGATAATGCAACTTTTAGTTCTTTAAATTTATCTTAATTATCAATTTGATCTTTCATATTTAATTTGTATTAATTTAATCTCTTAATTTATTTCAGCTATCATTTCCATTCTTATTATTTAAAAAGGAAACTATATCATTAAAATTTGCTAACATGGATAACAGAATATGGCTATAAGTCATGCAGATTAATGAAAAGAATTATAATTATTTAGGTTATAAAAAAATAGACTCTAAAATTATACAAAACAAGAGAACAAAATACCACGTGAAGGATTATATTGATAAAAATTAAACTAATTTAAGGATTAATTTTTTTTCATTGTGCTAATATATATATATATATATATGTTAATTCATCAATATACTTTACATATTACATTATTTTAGAAGTCAATTTATATTTTGAAACTTAAAAAAGACTTACATGATAATTTAGGAAAATTTAATGAATCAAATCAATAAAAATTAAATTTAAGGAACTAAATTGATAGACAAACTCGATTGACTAGAAGTTTTCATTGATTATTTATTATGTTTTTATTTCTGGGTCATGTTATGCATATAACTTTGTGATAATAACATGACAACAATATAATAATTATTTACAAAAATGCCCTCATCATATTATCATTTGAAAAAAACTACGTACTTTTTTATTTTTATTGAAACATCTAACAATAAAAATTAGAGACAGTTAAATATAATTTTTCATACTATTGTGTCGTAATAGTTACCTGCCACTTCCTGAGAAGCTTACAGATTTATACCCCACTGTTTTTTTTTTTTTTTGGCAGGTTACTAAGGTATATATAGCTAATCAGATTATTAACAAGTTATATTTTGGTAACTAGTGCTCATAAACTGGAAGATATATACACACACGAGTTCAAACTTCCACAGTTGTATATATGGGTACCCGGTGTTGCCCAAGGAATCAATTTATAAAGAAGATGAAGCAAAAAAGTAAATGTGGCTAAATATACAAACATGGGATAGAAGAACAAAGCAAAGCCTGAAAACTTTTTATCCCATCATCACTAAGACTTGCATCAGAACTCTCTCAAAATACATTAGAAACTTTTGTATAGACACAAATCCATCAAGAGATAAATAGAATTAAATTGCTTCTGATGCCTTTATTACAGACGCAGGTACAAAACCTACACCGTTTTTTCTTCTCAACACCATAAACATTGTAGTTTGTACACCATATAATCAAGGGACTGAAAATACTTGTACCTCCAGGATGTACTGTACAGCAAAGGACCAACTACTATCCAAAATCCTGAAACAAATCCCAATGGCATACTAACATAAAACCAATTGATTTTATGTTCACGAGCTTCTTTCTCATTGTTGCCATGTTCATGGACATTGGATAGATCAATGCAATTGTTTTGTAGTGGAGGACCACATAGATCATTGCCATCAAAACTAGTCGCATCAAAACTTTGCAATTGGGTGCCCGTTGGAATTTTCCCCATCAAATTATTGTAAGACAAGTTCAACTTGCTCAAAAAATTTAAATTGGACATGCTTGATGGGATTTCACCATAAAGTTGATTGTTTGAGAAATCCATAGCCTCCAATGATTCCATATTGCCAATGCTTTGAGGAATTTGGCCATGCAAAATATTGTTGGACAAGTTCAAAAAATGCAACCCCTTGAGATTTGTGATTTCTGTTGGTATCTCTCCAGACAATTTGTTGCTTGAAAGGTCAATACTTATGACAAGTCCTACAAACCTATATTCATCATCTCTTCCTTTCACCTCAAGGAGCACATCAAATACATAATAGTAACTGCTATTTATTATGCTCTCGATGTATGAGTCTAAACTATTATTCTTCACCAACATAGCAGTCAATTGGTTGATGCATTTTGGTACTTGTCCAGTCAAGTTGTTATGTGCAAGGTCCAAAATTTGTAGAAATTTCAACAAGCATATTTGCTTGGGAATCTCACCAACAAATTTGTTTGATCCTAGGAGAAAACCCTTCAAATTCAAGAGAATTTGTCCATCCATGAAGGAATAATCCCTAAAAATTGATTCTCCCTAAGATCCAAGAAAAGCAATTTAGTATTGTTCTTCAAACAAATAGGAAAATTTCCTGAAAGTAAGTTGTTGCGAATTTGTAAGGAGCTCAACCATTGTAAGGATCCAAAGGATGTGGGCAAGTTCCCACTAAAATGGTTGTTATCAAACTTCACAATGATTAGATTTGGCCACATCATCCAACAATTTGGTATTGCACCAGACAAGTTATTTAATGCCAAATTGAGAAGTCTTAACTTCATTGGCTCTTCCATCTTTTGACATAGGAATGAGTCTAGGGGTCCAGAAAACCAATTACTTGAGAGGTCTAAGTGATGCACATGAGGTGAAATGTGTGGTAAATGACCACTCAAGTGATTTGAGCTTAGATCAATTACTGAGACATTGATGGGATTCTTCAAGGTATTAGAAAGCTCTCCAGGGATACCATTGTTAGAGAAATCAAAATAAAAAGCACGGGGAAATGCATCCCAAACCCATGTGGGAATAGAATCAAAGATGTTGTTGTTGGGTATGACCAAATTCTTAAGACACTTGAGTGATTGCAACCATGATGGAAAGTGGGGACCTAAGTGCCATGAGTCCATGTACAATAATTTTATCTTTTGAAAAGATGGAATCTAGTTGGGACCCACTTTTAAAATGAGCTTGTTTCCTAATGCAAAAAATGCATATAGCTTGGTGAAATTAGCAAGGTGATCTTCATTCACCTCTCCTTGAAAAAGATTATCGCTAATGGAAAGTGTTTGTAACATTACAAGGGATTGTATCACATCAAAAGGATTTCCAATGAATTGATTGTCCGAAAGATAAAGATGATTCAAAGAGATGAGATTTCTTAAAGATTTAGGAATTTCACCTTGAATATCATTACCAGAAAGATCAAGATAAACAAGATTTTTGAAAATCCCAATTTGGTTTGTCAAATGACCATATAGTGTTGAACTAGATAAAGTCAAACTCTCTAGTGTATGTGATACACATCCTGAGATTATTCCTAATATTTCAAAAACTTGTTGATTGCATTTTTGGTTTGAGAAAGACACACTTTTTAAGCTACAAAGATTTCTTAAAGAGCTTGGAATTGGCCCTTCAAGTTGATTTTCTGACAAATCAAGAGTAACCATAGAAGTCAAGTTCCCAATCGCATATGAAATTGTTCCATGCAATTGGTTTGAAGAGAGTCTAAGAGACGTGAGATGGTTCAAACTATATAACCAATTAGGGATAGAAGAATTAAACAAATTAGAAGATAGATCAAGATCTTCAATGAGAGTGAGGTTTTGAATGCCATCTGGGATGGACCCTTGCAAATGATTAGAGCTTAATTTAAGAGAAACCAGATTTTTTAGTTGAAAAATCCACTTTGGAATGGAAGAAGCTCCAAAATCAACAAAATTTGAAAGATCAAGAACTGCTAAAGATGAAAAGTTAGTCACTATGGTTGGATCAAAATGATGATGAAGAGTACATCTTGTTAAGTGTAACTCTGTCAATGAGGGAAGTGATTGCAAAGCATGCAACCAATCAAATGCATTAGATAGATTCACATGACTTAATTGTAGATATTTGAGGAAAGAAAGGGATGAAAGCCATTGAAGATTTTCTAGAAACAAGGATATCTCATAATCCGTGTCATCATAATGATAATCCCTATCAAGATCAAGAAAGAGTAGGCTAGAAAGATTCCCAATTTGATGAGGAATGGGTCCAGTGAAAGAATTACCTCCAAGGTCGAGATGGATCAAATTGGAAAGATTTGCTATTTGGTGAGGAATGCTTCCATTGAAAAAATTACCTCCAAGGTCAAGATAGATCAAACTGGAGAGGTTTGCTATTTGGTGAGGAATGCTTCCACTAAATCCAGCATCAGAGAGGTTAAGATATGTCAAACTCTTCATTAAGTCCAGGAAACTAGGAATTTGCATTCCACCAAAGTCATTGCCACTCAGGTCCAAGTATCTCAAATGTTTCAAATCAAGTATTGAAGGATGTATTTCACCACCGAACCGTGACATCTCATCAGCTTGATAATAGGAAGGGGGTGAAGTTCTGAGGTGAAGTTGAAGAACATGTCCGGTTTCACCATCGCAAACAATTGAAGTCCAATTACAGCAGTTCATGTCCTTGGACCAAGAGGCAAGCCTACTTGATGGATCAAGAAGATGATGCTTGAAATTAAGAAGGGCTTGCCGCTCACTTAAAATGCAGAGAGCTTGATCAGATGTGTTGCATATGGAAAAATGATTTATTAGTAAGGTAAGGAACAAGAGAAAAATAAAAACACAAGTATTGTTATGGGAACCCATGACAAATTTCTAAGTGGTGCCTGATGTTTATGAATATATGCAGCTCTTGCCAGACTTGTTAGTATTTATAATGTTAGTAGAGGCTTCTATAGTGTGCATGAAAGCTTTAATTTCTATGTCCATCATTTTCTTGCCACCTAACACATCTGATGCACTTCAAGGAAATTTAAGAGTAAATTAATGCCATTGCATGAGAGATATATGATACACTACGAGAGTACAAGAGCTTTAGCTTCAATATCTTGAAATTAAAAAACAAAATTATTGCACTATTAATGAAATACCACTTTAATAATTAACTAGATGTCGGCCTATGTACCTTGAACAGAATTTAATGAATTACATTGCTCAGAGATTAATGAATAAATATGTCCGGTCAAAAAAAAAATAGAGACAGATTAAAGAATAAATATGATTTGTTATTTCTATTATAGTTTAAAATTATAATAGACTTTTATTGATAAAGAATTCCATGATTATTCTTCCTATGAATAAAGATAAACTAATAGATACACTATAATTGATGTAACCTGTTAAACATATACATCACCGCTTCTGGTTATGTTTAACTCTCAAAATTATAAACTCTTTTGCTTCACGCAAAATTTCAACACAAGAACAATGAATCTGTCCTCATAATCTTCGCTATATAAAATCTTCATTGGATCCTAAAAGCATGGTCTATACGCGTGCTTTGCACCTTGCAGAACTTTGCTTTTGGAAAGTCATTCAAATGCTTAAAGTCTCACCCTTTCTACAATGAAGCGGTGTCACCGCCAACAACTGATGGCCAATAATTACAAAAACTCTATTTACAGACCAATATTCAACAACCCTTGCATTGCTTGATATGAAAGAGTCTATTTCCTTCTCGGTCATTAAGGGTAGTTCAATCATTTCAATTTATGGAAATTAATTATAGATGAGTCTCCTAGCCTACAAAGCATTATCAAATTATATTAGGCTTGCAGAACAATTTTTTTTTTCCCCTTTTGGAGGCCTTTGATGCAATTCTCCCTCGTAAATTTTGGAATGTAGAAACATATAGTTGGTGAACTTTTTCCACGTGTGATGGATTGTCCATTGATGAAGACACGTATTACTACATATTGTTTAAGGTAGGAAATCTGTATGTATTTTTGTAACTATCTGAACTTGGTGACATGCCCAAACTCAATTAATTAAACTTTTTTTTTTTGCATAAAAAACATGTTTTAGTACATAAAAGCACCTTCAACGCAGATTCTAAAAGTTGGTAAAAAAAAAAAAACACGGATTTTGAAAGTAGTGTTGTAAGTGACATTATATTTTCATAGACGTGTGATGATCACTTTTTCCAAGGAAATGAGTGAACTGCATGGAACATGTGCGGAAGTTTCATGATTCTTCCTTTTTTAATTTCCAAAGGTCTTTTCAAATTAATAGAAAACTTTTTTTTTCCCACGTTAGAAAAATAAACATTTACTCATCTCACAATATTTTTCATCTCAAATAAAATGAGAACATATACATATATATATATTTTTTTTCTTTTCAACTCAAATATTTTTAAAATAATAATAATTTAAATGAACAGAATTTCAATTTTAATATCATCAGAAAATTTTTTTTACGTATATAGTCTCTTGTTTTTTTTCTTTTGGCCAAATGTAATATCTGGTAAATCCATTTTGTTATGACAAAGATGACTATTATGAATAGGGAAAATGATAATAAAATCTTTTTAAATTATATAAATAATAATCTGATCTTTTAAAATATTATAATTTTAATGAAGTCTCCAGAGACCTCTATGTTAATAAATTTTAAAATGAAAAGGCTATTTTACCTTTACTGAAAATAACAAACTCCAATTCTAGGTTTTGTTTAAAAAATTACAACTGTTGTTTTGTAAATTGTAAAAGTTGAACAAGAAATTAAAACTTGTCAGGTGTAATTTATGTTATTAAAAAACAAGCTTTAATTACAACTTTTGCTTAAAAAATAAAAACTTTTGTCTTGTAAATTACAAAAGTTGAACAAGAAATTATAATTTTTTAAATATAATTTCTATTATTAAAAAATAAGTTCTCAAAATAACAAACCTATTCACAACTTTTGTTTAAAGAATCACAGCTTTTATTCAAAAAATTGCAAGAATTGAATAAGAAATCACAACTTATCAATAAAGGTAAAATGATCTTTTTAATTTAAAATTTATTGACAAAAGAGGTCCTTAAAAACTTTAGTAAAATTATAACATTTTGAGAGATTAAATTATTATTTATATAATTCGAAAGTATTTTATTGTCCATTTTCCTTATAACTAAAAACAAAATAGTATTCCTCATAAAAAACAAAATATTATTCAATATATATATATAGAGAGAGAGGGGACTTTTTCGAATCTCAGGCTAATTAAATGGAAATTTTATTCTTCAAGCCTTGTATAACAGTAATAATCAATCAAGACAGTTCAAGAATCATGGAATTTTCATCTCCGTCGATCACTTGCCAAATGCCTTTTCAATTTATGGGCAAATTTTCCACATAAGAAAAGTAAAAGATTCCTCATGGTAGTGTTTGCTTCAAATAAAATAAAAATTTATGTATCAAAAAATATCTATTTTAAGGTCTTCACCTTCTTTAAGTCTTCTTTTCTATTTCTCATCAAATAATGTGTGATAATAAATATCATTTTTATTAAAACACATTGACTCCTTTCAGTTTTATTAAAGCTTTAAAAAATTTCAACTTGTTTCCATAACATTAACTTTAATGTAATTTTTAAAAATAAAAAATTAAAGTGTGTTAAAGGAGTATTCGGAATATTAAGCATCTTAAATTTATTTTATGATATAATATGTTTCTTTAAATATTTGAAAACGATGCAAACTCCAACATTAATTTTACAACAACATCCACGATTTGGTTATTGACTTATTGTGGGTCCCATACTTTTAGATTGATGATATGCAGTTGGTTTCCTCCTGGCATTCGAATGTGAAGGAAATGAGGTGTAAAGCGAAATTATTTAAAAAGCTTAATTTAATATTTAATTTTGTAGCTCGAAAAATTTAAAAGTACCCCCTTCGTTTAAGATATTTTTAATCGAATAATATAAATTAATAAAAATTAATTATTTAATTAAAAACATAACAACATTTTAATTTTACCCTTAATTATTAAAAATAAAAAATAAATTTTTTTAAAATAAATTAATGAAAGTACTTATTTTTTCTCTTTTCAATTTAATAAGGGTATAATAATTCATTCATTAAAAAATATGCTAACAACCTCTTATAAGGGACAAAAAATGTTTTAAAAAACCTCTTATATATAAGGACAGAGGAAATAATATAAAGATATATAAATAATATTATTTTGTAACATGGTTTATCTTAAATAATATTTATGTAATTTTAATTTTGAAGAACTTTTTTTTAGCAATAGCAGTTGTTACTGATATCGTCAATAATATTTTATAAGATAAATGGGCAAAAATACTCAGGAAATTGTTAGTCAAGAGCATCCAATAGTTTTAAGTAAGAAAAGGGATAAAAATATCTATAATGTTACTTAAGTTTGTACAAAAATAATCAATCCATTAAATTCTTAAAATATTAACTATTTAAATGACACCTACGTAGAGATTGAATATTTTTTTGGCTGACATCCATCATTGAAAACAAGAAACTTTAATTTTCTCCAAAAAGCTAATGCAATCGAATACTTATTCACCTCTCCTCTAACAAGATTGTTTTGAATGGTTCATACCTAGGTGAAGTAGAAGGGGTATTTGGAGACATAGTATATTTGGAAAATGAGTAATATATTTATTTTATACATAATTATTATAATTATTTAACTTTCTTAAATTATGTAAATTTGTTAAAATTACTTATATCTAAAAATGTGAGAAGTATTTTTTTTTATTGTTTATAGGTGTCCTTATATTGGAGACAATCATATTCCAGGCACAATCAAGCACTAAATATGAATATATCTCTCAACAAAAATTTGAACTTTAGTTTGTTATGTTATAAGAAATTAATCTCTAAAATGAATAAAATGAAAGAAGTATTGAAACATAGATAAAAATACACTTTTACATGTATACATTTTTCGCTTGTGAACATTTTCGTTAGTTCTCCTGTGAAATGATGCCTACTATCATTTATGATTGAAGAAAAAATCAACTATTAATAGGCTTCTTGAATGGATCATATAAACGTCAAATACAAGGTGGGGAATAATTTTAAAGAGCTAAAAGATTGATAATAAAATTATATACAAATAAAAAAATTGGAAATAAAAATAAAGATAAAAGGTCCTTTAATAAATTATTCTAAACGTTTGCTACTTTTATTTCCTGATTTATAAACATCAAAGTAAAAATTTTCAAGTAAAATTAATTAATTTATAAAGAAAAAATTTGTTAAGTTTAACATTATTATCGGTGATTTGCTACTTTCATGCACTGATTTACAACTCCAATAACACAAATGTGCAAATGAGATTCAGGCCTATATAAAGCATTATCAAATTGAATTGGGCCTGTAGTGTAATTTTACTTCTTTTGAGGACCTTATATGCTATTGTCCCATATATATTTTGGAATGTAGAAACATGGTTGGTAAACCTTTTTCACATATGGGATGCATTGTCCATTGATCAAAACGCGTTTATGAATGATTACATTAAGCATCTTTCATCATTAATTCTGGAAACGGTGCTGTAAAGTGATATTATCACTTTTCCAAGACAATAAATCAACCATGTGAAATTTATGTGGAAGATTCCTTGATCCATCCTCTCTAAAATTTTAGAAGTCT